ACTAGCCTGGTCTGCCCCTGAAGCTGCCAGCCAGCACCCAAATAAATCACATACAGAGTCTTATTATTAGTTATGAACATCCTGTCTTAGCTTGGCTTGTTTCTAGCCAACTTTACCTGTTTTAGATTATCCCGACTACCTTTCCTTCTGGGCTTTTTTTGTCTGTCTCTTCTGTAGATTTTTACTTTCCTTCTTACTTCATGGCTAGATGGGTGGCTAACCCCGGAAGTCCTCTCCTTGTTCTCTTGCTGCGCCTGCTTCCTTGTTTCTTCTGCCTGCTTGCCAGCCTCACCAATCCTTGCTCCTGCCTTGTTACCGGCCGTTCAGCTCTTTATTAGGACCACCAGGTGTTTTGGACAGGCGAAGAATCACAGCTTCACAGAGTTAAAGTTAAAAGTCACACACCTGAAAATAATATTCCCCAACACTGACGCTTTCTTCCTTTTCCCTCACCTTCTCTGTTCAGCACTTCCTTCCTTTCTCTTATGCTTGAATTAGACCACCCCCCAAACTTCTCATGAGGTCTGGTTCTGCAAGCCACTGGGCACAGGACACTGGCACGATGAAGGCAGAAGTGTGTCCTGGGCAGGGCATCCACACTGACAGGGGACAGAATGAATGAGACAAGAGGAAAGCTCTGTGTCACTTACATGGCTGTTCCCTGGATGGACAGATTCCAGGGGTGGGATGAGGGGGTTCTCAGTCAAGGAGGGCTTGCATATCAGAGCTAAAATGAACGTCATGGAGGTCGGAGGACAGTGTGTGGGAACTGATTCTCTCCTCCCCCCAAGTGGGTTCTGGGGATGGACTCAGGTCATCAGGCTTAGTTGCAAGTGCCTTGACTCACTGAGCCACCCTCCTGGCCCTGTTTTGTGAGTTGGGATCTCCTTATGTAGCCAATGCTGGTCTCCAATGAATGATTCTCAGCTTGGCAGTGGTGATGCATGCCTTTGATCCCAGCATTTGGAAGGCAGAAGCAGGGAGATCTCTGAGTTCCAGGCCAGCCTGATCTACAGAGTGATTTCCAGGACAGCCAAGGCTACACAGAGAAACCCAGTCTTGAAAAACAACAACAACAACAACAACAACAACAACAACAACAACAACAACAACAAAAGATCCTCCTGCCTCAGCATCATGAGTGCTGGGAATTATAGGTGTGTGCTTGCATGACCAGAAAATACATATTATTATTAGTTATTATTATTTTGAAAAAAGGTCTTAAAGTATATCCCTGGCTGGCTTGGAACTTACTTGTTAGACAAGGCTGGCCTCAAACCCAGAGATCTGCCTACCTTTGTCTCCTAGGTACTGGGATTAAAGATGTGCATACCTGGCAAATAGGTAACTTTTCAATAACGGGCTTTGAATTACATACAAGGTGCGAACTATCAACCAGAAAGCAGTTCCTCCTCAGACTCTTCTTGTGCAACTACCTTAGAGAGTAATTGCTTTCTGGGAAGACAGAAGAATGACAATCACTTCTTTCTTAAGTTTCATGGCCCATTGGCTTCGGTGCAATCCATACTGCCCACCCTCTGGAAGGTACAGCTTAAGCAGGAAGGCCATCTGGTTACTTCCGGTTGAATACCTCTTCAACTTTTGTTCCTAAGACCCTAGGCTGAGAATCAACAAAAGGATTTAAAGATGGATGGACTGAACCATTAGTCACCGGGCGATGAGTAACTCCAGGAAGAACTGAAGCAATTTTTAGCCTGGGTTCAGAAAGGCAGGGAGGCCTAAGAATAAAAGGCGTGTTCTGAGCCTGGGAGGAACGCCAGCGCTATGTCCATCAAAAAGCAGGTGGACCAGCACCTGCTTCATTCTCCCTCCTGCAGAAGTCAGGGACCCAGCACGATTGGCTTCCTCAAGGGAAACTTGTCACTGTGGAGAGGTGGGTACAGCTGACTTCTGGGACAGTCCCCCCACTCCTGCCACCAGACACAGACTGAGGCCAACTTTCTTACCTCAGTCTGGTTCCAGGACCTTGGCTACCCTTCCCACTGCCACTGGCATCCCAATTGGCTGCCCAGATTGTATCGATCTATGCCTGATCAATCTATCAGTCGATGTCACTGTACCGGGTTGTTCATTTATAAAATGTGTCCACAAGTCAAGTGGTTCATGCCTGTAATCCCAGGACTTGGGAAGATAAGGCAGGAGGATTGCCACAAGTTTCAATCAGCTTAGGCTACACAGCAAGTATCTAGCTAACCAGAGCTATATAGTGAGATCCTGTCATTAAAAGAAAAAACCTGTGGTGGGACACACCTTTAATCCCAGCACTCAGGAGGCAGAGGCAGGCAGATCACTGTGAGTTCTGGGCAGGCTTGGTCTACAGGGTTAGTTTCAGGACAGGCAGGGTTACATAGACCCTGTTAAAAGAAAGGAAGAAAGGAAAAGGAGAAGAAATGGAAAGGAAAAGGGAAGGGAAAAGGAAAAAGGCAAGGACCTATCAGGAAGCTGGGAGGGCCAGCAGTGGCAAAGACTGGAGTCTGTGACTCATGTGGCCCTGGGGGGTGCTTCCTTCATCCTGGTCTGCCCCTCAGACCCTGAAAGTCAAAGTCTTTCCTGTGTTTCTTGGTTGGTACCTGACACTGGGTGTTTGCCACAGGAGAGTCCCATGGGGCCTGTCTGTACTCACATTCAGGAAGGAATGCAGCTGTGACATGTCACCATGCCTGCTGGCCTAAAGCTTGGTGGAACTGGGTGTTGTCCTGCCTCAGAGGTGCCCTTCCCTGTTCCAAGGATGTCTAATAGATACAGTTGACCAGGGTGTAGGTGCCCTGCCCCAAGGATGTCTAGTAGATACAGGAGATCATGGCATGGGTTCTGCCCAGTCCCAAGGATGTCTAGTAGATACAGGAGATCATAGCATAGGTTCTGCCAACTTTTGGAGGCTCAGAATAGTCAAGCCCAGTTACTTTTCTTCCTCCAGCTTTGAGACTGTTTTTCATTTTGTTTATGGATACAAGTTCTCCTGAGTGAGGCAGTCTGGGTTGGCCTGAACTTGAGCTCCTCCAGCTTTAGCCTCCCTAGTGCTAGGACCAATCTTCAGTTGCATTGTACTTTTAAACAAAACTTTGGCTTGGCTCAGAGCTCATTTATGGAAACACAATATTTAGTTGGGGAGTCGGTAAAATAATAAAATTCCCTCCAAGGCTCTGTCCATCAGCGGTGCAAACCAGTCTGATGGCTGTAACCCTATCTGATGTCCTAGCTGCATCCACAGCTTCAGAGAGAGAGAGAAGTCAGCCTGCCAGACTGTGCTTAACAAGCTGCAGGACCTGGGTGGGAATGATGCCTTGTTGGGTTGGGTTGTGTTGTATCTCCATAGCACCTGACTTGGTGAGGATAGGCTCCTTGGTGTATTCTTGGAGAACTTGCTGGCCTGTGTTACTGAGAGCTGCTGTGAACTGTCTGGGCTGCCTCTCCAGCTCTCTGGAGTAACATCCTGATTGTGTGTGTGTGTGTGTGTGGGGGGGGGACAGGGAGATTTCCTTACCCAGTGAAGGTCTTTTCTAGGCTAGCTTCCTGAGAAAACTTGTAGGCCAAGACTGGAGACACCATGGTAACCAGCCCATTGGCAAGGCATTTGCCACAGAAAGGTCATGACCCTGCTGGACCCTCCCCAGGGCTGCCAGAGTCAACCCAGTGGGCTATATAAAGTCAGTTAGACTCAGCAAAAGGTTACATCTAGGTGTCTTGATCCATGACTATCATTGCCAAACTTTGGAGGCTGAGGCAGGGATCTGAATTTAAAGCCTGCCTGGATTTTAAGAGGAATTCTGCCAAAACCAACCCAACCTAACAGGGATGTCCTAAGACAAAGCAGTGGTTGAGCCAGGTACTACTACTTCCTGCCTGGCTAAAGAGACCCTGCTTTGGGACTGGGAGGGATACACTATTTGGTCTGTGGTTTCCAGGAGTCACACTGCAGTCTGGGCACACTCAAGTCCCTGTCACTCTAGAGGAGGGTCAACACAGAGCATGGCAAAATGTGTGCCCTATCTTATTCCCCTGAGGGTCCTTCTTAACTGATCCTCCCTGAATACAGATAAGGCTGAGTCTGACTAAGGGAGCGTCTCACGCTCCCACCTCAAGGTACACAATCACAAAACCCTGAGGAATCTGTGTGTTTGTGGGCAGGGGTGTCTGGGAATTGAACTCATGCCTACAGCCTAGTCCTCCATCACTGAGCTACAACCTAGCCAAGAACTTAGGATTTTTTTTTTTAATTAATGTTTTTGGTTTTTCAAGACAGGGAGGATTTCTCTGTGTAACAGTTCTGGCACTTGCTTTGTAGATCAGCTTTGTAGACCTCTAACTCAGGTCTGCATTTGTCTCCTAAGCTCTGGGAACAAAGTCAGGTACTACCATGCCAAGTCTAAATGGCTGTTGTCATACGAATGGTTCCTGGTTTTCTGAGTACTTTGTCTTATGGAGGAGTCTTCCAATCTCCATTTCCCCCCAGTCCTTCCGGAGGTTGGCTGATAATATTTCTGGACCCCTGCCCCCCAAGACAGGGGTTCTCTGTGTAGCTTTGGAGCCTGTCCTGGAACTTCTCTGTAGACCAGGCTGGCCTCGACTTCATATACACCTGCCTCTGCCTCCTGAGTGCTGGGATTAAAGGCGTGTGCCACCAACGCCCGGCCAAATGTCACTTTTGTCTGGCTGATTTTTAGTTGAGTTTCGATATTACTACATTCACTACATCTAGACTGTGGCTGGGTATATGAATTTTCTTCCTGTGGTGGAGTTGTACTCGGGCCACAGGTCCTCTGGCTTAGCCACAGTGAATGGCAGTCAGCTGTCACAGGACTGCAGCAACCCTTGGTGTACCTGAGCAAGCCCACCAGCTCTGGGGGAGAAGGGACAGGTACCTGACATGTTCTCTTTTCCAACTCGAAGGGAGCCTGGAATTTCCAGACCCTGGCATCGCTGTGGTTTCCAGAGAGGTCTATTTTTACAGACACCATGTCAAACATCAAAGACAAATCTGAGGATAAAAACATATTTCTTTTAATTGGTCTTGGCTTTGATTTTTTGTACCAACAAGCCCCAGGGACACCAATAATACAATTTGATTATAAACAAACAACACTTTGGGCAGTTGCGAAATCCAGAGAAAACATAGACCCACTTCTCAGGGAGGCAACTGCTCCCCAACCCGCTCATGCTCCTTCTTGTGCTTCAGTTTAGAAAGGAGATTGTGTCCCAGCACTTAGGGAGGCTGAGGATGACCACCAGTGTGGGGCCTTATTGGATACGTAATGAGACCTTGGGGGGCGGGGGAGAGAGAAAAGTTAAGTTTGAAACTAACCTGCAAGAATGAGCACATCCACGTTACTAAGACTAGCATCTTTGCAAGTGCCACTTAGGCTCGCAGCTCTAAGATTGGCTTCTCTGGACTTCCAAGTCTACCAGCAATTTCTCTTGAGAAAACAACATGCATCAAGGACAGAGATGCTTTCTGTATGTATTCCTCCACATGGTAGAGCCTTCCTATGCTGTGTACATAAAGCCAAACATCTTGGCCTAGCATGGCAGTGCTCGCTGGTAAACCCAGCACTCAGAAGTTGCCCTCCGCCCTGTGAAGTGTGCTTCCAGGATACTCACTGGTCTCTGAGGATGGGTAAGCTGGCATGAAAACACCGTGAGGGAGTTTCTACCGCTGCTACCTGGGGTCTTGTCCCACACCACTGCACCATATGACCCACTTGGCCGTATAACCTATCTTTAAAACAGAAAAGAAAACTGTTGGACATGTTGGAATTCTTAAATGGAAAGCTAACAGCATTTGCTGCCTTAACCTTTTCTGCAAAGGTTTCAGTTTTGAATATGACTGTCAAACCCAGCACACTGTAACCATGCAACCACAAGTTACACTGCACATGACCTATTGTGAAAATAGCAAAATATCTCCCACTTTATCATTGAGCAGGCAAAAGACAAAGTCACTCCATTCCTATCAGGAATGTCATCCATGAGTCAGTTGGTCAAATGGTAGGAAGTGGACCTCTTGGCTGTGAAGATGGAGGCAGATGTACCAACTCTACAGTCCCCATGGTAGCTAGTGCCCTGCAGTCCTCTACTGGGAAGCAGCAGTGCGAAAACTGGGGTTTCTGCACCAGGGTGCATGGAGGAGGAGGTCCCTGGGGATACCCTGAGCACAGGAGGCAAACTGACATGGCTTTGAGTGCCTGAGAGCCAAGGCCTAAGCCCAGCCAGTCAAGCCTGCAAAACCAGGAGGATCTGGGCCTCCTGTTGTGCTCCTTCCTGAGGTCACTCCACCCCTCAGACCCAAGGCAGTTTCCTTAAATAAGGCCAGTTGCCGAGCAGGCTTTGCTCTGAAAAAGAAGTCAGATTTGTTTCACTGAAGTCTGAGTGTCTCCCTGGGTTTTGCACTACAGCCAGCTTGGACAGCTGTAGAAAACCTGTGTGGACGCTCGTGTTCTAGGTGACAATGGCTGTCAGTGCACGCACTCTTGGGAGGCCAACTCCCTGTTCTGCCAAGAGCCTGGAGTCCAGGTAATGCTGGTGCAAGCCCTGATGGGAAAAAGCAGGTGCAGTCAAGAGAGGCCCTGGGCTCACTCACTGAGCTTAAGATCTATCCCAGAGGCCTGGGAAACTGTGCTAATGTGGGCAGCAGCCGGGGGGCACTGGCCCTCCTGAAAAGACACTTTGGGCTTGCTATAGAGGTAGAAAGACAGGGACAGGAACAGGCCAGGCAGAGGAGAGAAAGCCTCAAGGACAGAGTGGCTTTTCTCCACCCCTCACCTGTCCACCCCCCTGCTGGTCACACGTAGAAAAGCTACACTATTGCTCATTCGGTTTCAAGAGTCATCGCTAGGAGAAACAGCCACGTGCCCACAGAATGGGCCTGAGCTGACATGCTTTCACACGGAGCAGACTGAGACCACAAATAGCCAAGAAAGGCAACCGACTGTGGCAGGGGCAGCAACAGGCACCAAGGAGAGGCGCTCCACACACCAACAGCACCCAGTACTTACGGTGAGCGTGTGCATGGACTCAGACAGGAACCATGGCCTGCACCCCCAGCAAGGAGGGGTGCGGGCAGCAGCTCAGGTTCAGGACATTTGCCCCGCCTATGGGGATTTATAAAATAATTAAAAAGCCCACATTCAAAAGTTATAATTTATAGAATATCCAGTATAAAAGCAGTCTTTAAAAAGGGACTCTGGCTCTCAGAAGAAGTCTGCAGCCCTTGGCCTTCTCTTTGGCGTGGTGGCTGGTAGCTTCATAGCTGATACAGGAGTGCTGGCGGGGGAGCTGGTTGGGGTCTTCAGCACGCCGTGGAGTGGCCTCTGCTCAGGGTTAAAGGCCACTCTGGAGAGGCCTGTGGGGCTGACCAGGATACTCTTGTCTGTCTTCCTAAATTCTGTTCCAAAGGAAAGTGAAGGCTATTAGTTAGATGTCACGTCCATTCCTTCCAGCTGAGCAGGGCTCATGGCTCACATTCCCCATGCCCCAGAAATGCAGAAGACACCTAGGTACAGTGAGGGGACCAAGTTTCACCTGAGTGTGCTGTAGGATAAAGGGGATGTGGGGACAGGAGTGACAGCCAGCTGCCTGGGATAGTGTTCCTCGGCAGGACCTGTCTTCACCTCCAGCTCTATAGATCAGGGGGTTTAGCTTAAGGCATGTGGTCCTCACTCCTTCCTGTATTCCCTGCTCACCAAACATGTGCCTGCTCACTTGTGTAAACAAAGGTGTGCACATACACATTTGCTTACTGTCCACACGAATAAGGTCTTAAACTCATTAAACTTAAAACTAGTGGGACATGCTTTTAATCTCAGCACTTGGAGGCAGAGGTGGTGGATCTCTGTGAGTTCCAGGCCAGCTAGAGCCACACAAGACCCTGTCTCAAAAACCAAACCAAACCAAACCAAACCAACCACCACCTCCTTACAAGAGTCCTTTGGTTTCTTTGAATTAAGAGTAGTACTGGATGGTGGTGATGCATGCCTTTAATCCCAGCACTTGGGAGGCAGAGGCAGGCAGATCTCTGTGAGTTTGAGACCAGCCTGGTCTACAAGAGCTAGTTCCAGGACAGCCTCAAAAGCCACAGAGAAACCCTGTCTCGAAAAACAAACAAAACAAAACAAAACAAAGGTAACAATGGACACACTACTTAGTGGGTAGTAAGTACCTCTACTCACTAAGTCAGCAGAGGGCTTCCTTCCTCTCCCTTCTGGTACACCGATGGCCCTGAAGCACAAGCTAGGCAGCTAGAGCTAGGAACCAGGGTTTTTTTTCTTTCTTTTCTTTTTTTTTGGTGTTTTCAAGACAGGGTTTCTCTGTGTAGCTTTGGAGCCTATCCTGGCACTCGCTCTGGAGACCAGGCTGGCCTTGAACTCACAGAGATCTGCCTGCCTCTGCCTCCCGAGTGCTGTGATTAAAGGCGTGCGCCACCAATGCCCGGCCGGAACCAGGGTTTCTTAAGCCTCTGGGACAGAACTAGAGAACACCTGGACAAACAACCTCTCACCTCACCCTTTTCCTGGGGGGGGGGTCTTCTGAGACCCCAAGAAATCTCTATCTTTAATCCCAACACTCGAGAGGCAGAGTCAGAGGGATCTCTGTGAGTTTGAGGCCAGCATAGTCTACATAATGAGCTCCAGGACAGCTAAAACTACCTGCTTCAGCTAGTTGGTCCCAAGGAGGTTTCCCAGAAGCCCACCCACTTACCTGCAGTCATGTTTTTGTTTAATCCAAAGGTGACTTTCTTGGAGCTGGAGGGTGTTATATTCATCTGCAGAACAACAAAGGAGTAAACATGGTAACACAGGTCCTTGTCTGGGATTTTTCTGAAGAACTTACCCAGGGAAAGCCCTTGCAGTCTGTTTCCTGACCTGCACATATACAAAGGCTAATGGGGTGGCATGCTGTGGCCTAAATAGACTCCACTACCAGACTTCTGCCCATGACCTTCACAAACCACTTTTACATAAGCATAGATGTCCCAAACTGGACACTACAGTCCCTAGTCCTGGGGGGTTGGGGGGAGAGAACCATAAGGATGTTTGGAATCCCAAATTTATCACCCAAAATTATAAGGACATGTTAATGATCACTGTTAATTTTGTTGTCCTAGAATTAAAAAAAAAAAAAAAGTTATGTTATATATGTAAGGTGTGTGTGTCTGTCTGTCTGAGGACAATTTTTGGAAGTCAGTCCTCCCCTTGGGTTCTGGGGATTAAACTCAGAGATTAAACTTGGGTGGCAATCCAGCCAAGCCATCCAGCAGGCCGAGAATTTCTAAGCTGTAACTTGTAGTTCACATACAATTGATAGATTAGGTTTAAAATGGGGTCTAATTTCAATGGGTAATGGATATGCATTTAAAATCTTTGCTGGAGATAACACCCAAGGCTGTGACAAGTGCTGAGCTCTACCACTGGGACCCCACCAAAGACCAAAATGTTTTGTACAAAGGACTTTAAATAATCTAGATATCCCAACAATCTACCAGAATTAATGATGAGCCTTTCTGCTTGAGATGTTCCTAGAAGCCAATCCATTTTGTACTGTGAGCTCTGGCTGAGCCCTTCCTAGAACCCCTCTTTCTTGAGTTTGTTGCTACTTTATTCCACCTGTACATCCACGTGCAGGTGGCCAGATGAAACATCTTAACAGGTAGAATTCATCACCTGCACCAGAGCTCAGAATCCCTGTCTGCTGTCCCAGTAGAAGGGTGCTGTGGAGAGCTCACCTGGACAGCAGAACCTTGGGGACTGATGGCAGAGCTGCTCTTTGCTTTTCTGAAGAACAGGGGCTTTGGTAAGAAGTGGGTGTCAAACTTCACAAAGTCATCCTCTGTTGTCAGTGGTTTTTTCAAAGTCCTGTTGCTTCCCTGTGAGGATGAGAAGCCGGGAGGAGAATTGTATCAGAGGCACCTTGCCAGGCTCACACCCACAGGGAGAGAAACCAGGACAGCATAGCAAGGAAATGCTGGAGGCTGACCCACCCTAAGCCCCTTAGCCCACAGTTCCTTATGTCAGCTCTGCCTTCTGCTCAGTGGAGCACAGACTTCACTTCTTGGCACCATGCCAGCAGGGATCACAGTGTCTTCTCAGCACTAAAGCCCACTTTTTTGGTAACTATATTCTAACTCAGGTCCTACATACAGACAGTTTGAATCACTTTCCTTTCAAGGCCCACCTGCTAAGTGAGAACTCATTTTTCTATTTGTGATCAGACACTGTGTGGGCTGCAAGTATGGTGTGGGACAAGGCTGCTACAAGGCTTTGAGGGTCCCCACATCTGGCAAGCTGCGTGTGGAGCCACCATGTCTGTCTGGAGCTCCATGCCTTCCTTGCTAAAGCATAATACTTTTTGGTGTGCCCCAAAGCAACCCTAGCCCAGGAGCAGACAGCAGCGACCTCCCTTGGCCCCAACTAGTTAGCAACATCCCAATTCCCAGGGCATGAGAAACAAGCTATGAAGTAGAGGTGCCTCTGCCAGAGCAAGGTTGGAGGCTGAGATGATGTCCCAAGGCCAGTCCAGTGCTCTGCTCTCCTTCAGTAATTCTTTACTGTCCATGAAAACACCTGGTCACAGATGGACTTCAATGTCATAGGCACTGCAAAGCAGTGGTGCTGAACAAGGGCCACATTTTTCCCTGTAAAGCCAGGGAGTCACTATTTTGGTGGCTTGGTGGCCACAGCAACGAGCACTCGGTGCGGTGTGTTTGCCACACGGGCTGACCCGGGCACAGAGGTAGTGTGCTTCCTTAGACATGATAAAAATGAACAGCTTGGGTCTTCCTTTACAGCTTTAGAAGGAGAGAGGAGAGAGGAGAGGGAAGAGGAAGAGAGGGAGGGGAAAGAGGGAGAGAAAGAGAAAGGGAGGGAAGGAGGGAGGGGGGAGAGTGAGAGAGAGAGAGAGGGAGAGGGAGGGAGGGAGGGAGGGAGAGGGAAGGAAGGAGAGAGGGAGAGGGAGAGAGAGAGAAAGAGAGACCCTGGAAGTGTAAGAGCTCCAAGCTTCCTCTTTGCCACAGGGGCTGGATGAGTAGTGGCAGTGGACAGAGAGAGCAGCTTTGTACAGAGGCCTGACTCCGACATTTTCTTAGCTACGTGCTTACCCTTGCCTTTGTGAGAGCTGTTATAAAGCAGCGTATCCTAAGTGTTCTTCCCCGAGGTCTGGCTGTCCCCATGCCCTAGCCCTAGCAGACAGTCGAGTCCTCTGAGCACGCCTATTCAAGCCCAGCACCCAAGCTCTGGGCTCTTCCCACCTTACCAGAGCTTGGATCTGCCTGGTGCTGGACTCCAAAACTCCGTTGTGTTCTACTAAGTCTGACATCTGCTTCATTTTTTTCCTCTTTTTTAAGATTGCTGTTTTTTGACTAGACAGATCATAGAGGCCAAGACTGCTGGACGCTGTCTTCTTTTGTGGCCTCTTGCACTGGGGCAGGGTGGTCTGGTCATCTTTCTCTTCCTCTGGGCTGGTTGAGGTGCCTGCCTTTTGCACAGTCAAGCCACCACTGTTGACAGGCAGAGCCCCGAGTTTCCGTTTCCTTTTCTGGGCTCGGACACCTTCTGAGGAAGACACTTGGGCATCAGCGCTCTGAGGATGCCCATGGGTAGGGTCATTCTCTGACATATCCTCCTGAGGTAAAGGGGTAGATTTCCAGATCTCTCTGTGGACCTTTAGGTTCTTCTTTCTCAGCCGTTTCCTTTTATTGCATGTGGGTGTGATGGGTGCTGGCTCAGAGCTATTTTCCCTGATGCCAGACACAGCCTCTGTTTCAGGCCCAGTCACACATGCCTGTGGGGTCTGCCTCTGGGCAGCTTCAGGCTTGCCATCAGCACCTTGTGCTGGGGGCATGGTAACAGCGTCTGGGTCCTGAGTCTCAGCCTGGAAGTGGTTCCTCTTCTTCTTTCTCCTTTTTCTCTTGTGAACGTTGCCCCCGCTGTCCTCCTCACCATCAATAGAGACTGCGTTTCCTACAAAGATGCAGACCGATGGTGACTTTCGGGGAAAACCAGCAGCCGGAGTGGTTTTTGCTTTGTTTTTTGAGATAAGGTCTCATGTAGCTCAGACTTGCCTCAAACTTGCTGTATAGCCAAGGTTGCTCTAGGAAACCCTGGTGGTCATGACTACCTCTCATGGAATACAGGCATACTGCATCACAGCAGACTCCTTTATAGACAGGGTCTCACCACTGAGTCTTTAAGGGCTGGAAGTAAAATCCCACTGGCGGGTTAGACAGATGACTCACAGGTAAAGTACTCGCTGTCAAGGTAAGAGGACTTGAGTTTGGACCCACAGCACCCACATAAAAAACTAAGTGTGGTGGCATGCGCCTGTAATCCAAGTGCTAGGGATGGTGTGTGTGTGTCCAGGGCAGGACAGATGGATCCCAGAAACTTGATGGCCAGTCAGCCTAGCCAGGTCTCAGAGTGCCAGGGCATTGAGAGCTTCTGTCACAGTGGAGGAAGACACGTAGTGTCAATCCCTGGCCTGCTCATACATACAAGGCACATGTATTTGGACACTTGGCCCCCTATTTAAGGAGGCTGTAGAAGCTTTGGGAGATAGGCCCAGTTGGAGGAAGTCCTTGAGGTTTACAGCCTGACCCTGTAGTTTCCTGTGTCCCCCCTTTGCTGTTTTATGTGCCTGCTGCCACGCCTTCCCCGCCATGACCATCCGTAGCCTGAACTATGAGCCCACAGAAGCTTTCTCCTTTAGGTTATTTCCTGTCCAGCTGTAGTCACAGCAGCCCGAGCTGGCCTGTCAAATGTGCAGCAGGCCTTAGGTTCCCGAGTGCTGAGATTACACAGCCCAACTGAGACTGACTACTTTCTTATGATGTTGGGGGTGGTACTTAGGGCCTGACACATGCTAAGAAAGGGTTCTGCCACCGAACCCACTTCCAGTCCCTGGATCTTGCAACCTTCACCACCAGACAGTTTTCAACTGGTCCCACTTCTCTCTATGACCAGAGACCTTCCTCAAGTGTATCTCACTACAAATGGATACATGGTGAGAGGTTTTCAGTCATTATTTGTTTTTCTGTATTTCTTAAACTTATTTTTACTTCGCTTCATATGCATGTGTGCTGCATGCAGAGGCCAGGAGAAGGTGTTGGATCCTCTGGAACTAGAGTGACTGATAGTTCTAAGCTGACACGTGGGTGCTGGGAAATCGAATCTGTTTTCTGCAAGAGCTGACAGTGCTTTTAAACCACTGAGTTATCTCCCCAACCCCTAATTATTAAAATAAAAATTATGTTTACTTTGTGTTGTGCATGTGTAGGCACATGTGGAGGTGAGAGTCAGTCATCACCTCCTTCTGCCACGTAGCGCCTGGGGATTGAGCCTAGGGTGGGCAGTGAGTGCCTTCATCTGCTGAGCCTCCTTGCTAGCCCAGGTTTTCAATAATTTTAAAGTCAGAAAATACACACACACACACACACACACACACACACACACACACACACACACACACACACACAGTATCTGAATTCTCACACACACAATATTTGGAACCCTATTCTTTCTCCATGCTACCTAAAGGCCATCCAATAGCAGAGGCCTCTGCACACACGAGATCAGAACAGTGGCTGCACAAAAATAACAGGACCTAGGAAATCTGAGGGCACAATGCTGCTTGCATAGCACCCCAGCGCTCTGGAGGCAGAGGAAGGAGGAGATCATGAGTTTGAGGCAAACCTGGGCTACATAAGATGGCTCTATTTCAAAGAACAAACCTCCCCTCTCCCATCCACACCAAATTAAATCAAATCCCAAAACACACACTGAAACTTTTTGCTATGCCAATGATTCATGAGAGCACCGGTCCCCAGACCTCAAGGGCCCAGAGCTACTCGGATGTGAGCCTTTCTTTCAGCCCCGAGGCTTATGGCTTCACAGCTTACCTTTCTCCCTGTCCAAGGCAGCTCTTTCTAAAAGCTTCTTTCTTTTTTTCTTGTGCCTTTTTTGACCGATGGCTTGAGCATTTTCATCAACAGTAATGTCCTCACCAAAACTGAGTTGAGCACTATGGCCTGGTAGGTACCAAAGGGACACTGGTCAGCTCCCAAGGCCTGTCTGCATCTGTTGCAGCAGCCCAGGTCCTGGGCTCCTTCCTAATCCTCTAGCTAAGGGCCCCAGAGTTCTGCTTTACCACCTGCACTACCAACTGCTTTTCCAAGTGAACTCACAGGCTCTGGGCCAGAACACACACTGATAATGACTGCCAGACTTCTCAACCGGACTGACTAACTTCAGGTTAGTGGGCTTTCTATTCCCTCTGGCTCTGTGAGCTCACCCAGTGCATGAGACACAGGACAGCTGGCTCACTGGCCAGCCCAGATTTACCAAGCTTACAGCAGCTCACCCTGGGGACATGCGTCCTAAAAGAAATGAAAGTTCCTGAGATACTAGGAGTTTCTTCTTGACAAAGGATTGTAATTTTCCTAGCCCAGTTCAATAAAACAAAACCAACAAAACTAAACCAAAACCCTTGAGTGTTCTGCCTGCATCCCACAGAAGCCAGAAGAGGGCACTGATGGGTTCAGGAATTGAACGTGGGTCCTCGAACAGGTCGGTCAGTGCTCTTAACCACTGAACCACCTCTTCTGCCTTCCCTCTTCCCATTAAAAACTTAACTGTAGAAAATACCAATAAAAACTCAAATAAACACCATACTACCCACACATAGGAGGAACCAGATGGATGAAAAGTGGGTGCAAAGGGTCTTGCACCTGTGGCACATCCCAGGGTGTTCCCTTAGGTATGCCAGGTGAACCTAGCTGAGGGCAGCCACCCCATACGTCACTTTCCCAGGAAGGCTATCCCACTTCCCAGAATCTGGGAGGGATGCTGTTGGTGGGTGTACATTGGGTGTGAACACCCTGACTCACAGTCCAACTCTTCTCACCTTCAGAGAGGTCCTGGAATCTGAAAAGAAAGGAATACACGGAGTTAGGAGCATTAAAGACATAGGTCCTGAACATAAGCAGGAATCTACCAACTTGGATAGTCTAGCTAGTTTAACTAGCTAGACTCTGCCTCCCAAGCAAACGGGCCACTTTACTGCCTGGAACTTCATTGGTGCTGGGATTTGATGCAGGCCTCCACACCTGCCAAAAACTTCCATGGGTGCTGAGGATCCAAACTCTAGCCCTCATGTTTCCTCACACGTGGCAAGTACGTTACTCACTGAAGGATTTCCCTAGCTCCCTTCTAAAGGCATTCATGACATAAAGGATCAAGTTCAGGCCAGTGATGGTTAACCCAGTCAGAACACACCAACTGGCTTATTGGCCAATCATCTATTACATCACCCTGGTCCTATTGACAGAGATGTTGACTACCAGATTACCTGACCCTTTTGGTACAATCCTACTGGGAGGTGAGGCTGAAGGTGGCTAACTGAACCCCTTGGTATGCCAGCAGGTGACACTGGAGGAGTACACTGACACTACTACCCTACAGTTGTATGAGATGAGCAGGGTTCCCTCTTTCCCTGACTTTAGTTCACGTTTGCTATGCTGCTAATGAGTAAAATTACAAAGGATAATGAGTCTGGTTCCTGTGCCTCACAACTGCCTGCAACTCCAGGCTTCTGCAGGCATCCGAGCACCCATGTAACACACACATGCAAGTGCACACAAAATAAGGAACGAATACATTTTAAAGAAAGAAGGAAAAAAGAGCAGCACAAGGGAGCATGCAGGTCCACGTGCTATGGCCACGAGCTTTCACTCACTGCTTACTTTCTGATCAGTCTGCAGAGCCGCTTCCGGTTGAAGGGAGGGGTGCTCTTCAAGTTGGCTATTTCCAAGAGTCGATCAGCAACAGCCTTATAGTCGAACTGCCAAGAAGAGAGAAGAAATATGAGTGGTGGCGAAACACTCTGGCCCATCTTAGAGTCGCCTTCTAGGCGCTTGTGGGAGCAGTCCTCCTCTCCAGACTGTGGTCTCAGACAGAGCAAAATTTGCCCGATGAGCTTCTTGTGTTCCTCCTGAGTTCCCAATCTTAGCACCTATAATACTCTGACTTTTTGAAAGTACAACTGGGAGCAGGTGTGGTGGCCCATGCCTTTAATCCTAGCATTTCGGAGGCACAGGTAGGTGGCTCTGTGAGTTTGAGGCTACCCAGAAGTTCTAGGACAGCCAGAGTAATGCAATAGAGGGACTCTAACAAACCACCAATCAAGTAACCAAAAACCAAAACTGGAAGCCTGGTATGGTGGTGCATATTCCAGCACTTGGAGGCGGGGAGGCAGAAGGATTGCTATGAACTTCAGCCTAGACTATATAGCAAGACCCTGCTTCAAAAAAAAAAAAAAAAAAAAAAAAAAAAAAAAAAAAAAATCAAAAACCCCTGAACAGTATCAGAGGGCTGGTGCTGCCACACAAAACAGACAACTATGATTACAAAATAAGGAGCAGTGCCTTTCAAAATCCCACCTCATGTACTTGTTACTGTCTGTTTTTTGAGATGGGGTCTCTCTACGTAGCTTGGGCTGGCCTGCAACTTGCTTGTTGTATAGATCAGGCTAGCCTTCAAATCAAAGAGATCTGTCTACCTCTGCCTCGTGAGTACTACGATTAAAGGTGTGTACCACCATGCTTGGCTCCTTTTTGTATTTTTGAAACAGGAAGTTAGTGCCAGGCTAGTCTTGAACTTGAGATCCCCCTATGTGCTGAGATTCCATGTGTGCGATACCATGCCAGCCTAAAACCTCATTCTTTTAAATTTGTTCCCAACAAGCTCATTCTAAGAATGGTGATGTTAATTACAGAAGGGATTATAAAGGACTTTACAGTTCAGGCCCTATGGCTTAATGAGCTCTGACCCTAATTCTCCAGCCTAGCACCCCAGTCAACCCACATTCTATAAAAAGCAAAAGCTGCCCCCACCTGGAGAGGTGACCCTGAATCCTTGAAGGCTGCACAGCCGTCTCTTTCTCTGCCGCCAACAACTCCATCTTTGAGGCATTCCCCCAGTCCTGCCAACACACACACAAAGACAAAGACAAAATCTTGACATTCAAGAATAACTGTGGCTCAGTCTCTCCAGGCTCTGGGTTCAATCCCCATTACCCGGGAGAAAAATCTGCCTAGGGAGATACATGGAATTAGTGTCTTCAAAATGCCTGTCTTCTAATATTCTATGTAAAGCTCCAGATTTTATCCCCAGTACTAGCCCTATACTGAACAACTCTACCCCCCCCCCCAAACAAAACTAAAGACTCCTGGAAGGAAGCCGTGTGCCAGAGGGGAGCCACAGGAACAAGTGTGTGACCTTGACTGCAGGGCAGCTCTCACAGGCCTGCACAGACCAAACACCTCAGGAAGAAGGTGAGTTCCTTGGAGGGACAGAATCAGTTGGGCCTAGTGTGAGTGGTGTTGTCCCCACCCCCCCATTACGCACACTTCTCTTTATGTATCCTGCTTCATATTTTGGGAGGGCTATATTCAGTGCGATGCCAATGAAGGCTTAGTCAGGCAAGTGCACATACCACACAAGCACAAGGGTGTGGGTTCAATCATCAGAACCCACATAAAAAAATGCTGGGCATGGTAGCACAGTCTTGTAAGCTCAGCATGGGAAGACAGAAACAGGCGGGTCCCCGGGACTCACTGGCCAGCCACTCTAGCCTAATTAGGCATCTTCCAGGTCGATCGGAACCCCATCTCAAAGTAAGAGGTCACGGAACCTGAGGAATGACTTCCAGTGTTGACATCTGGCCTTCACATGAAAGTGTTCACACATGTACACACCCACAGACAAAACTAATATCCACAAACAAGCAGAACCCAGCCAACCAACTAACCAAGTTCCCAGAAAGGAAAGAACATAAAAGGAGATGCTCTCACCAGGCTTCTTCTCACCGACTGCTTTTCTACAGGCCAGCTTGTTTGCAGAGATCTCTGGGGCAGAGAGACCACCATCACCCACTTTGGTTTTCTGCTCTTCCACAGTCTCTTCAGGCACAAAAGCAGACTGATCTACAATGACTTCAAAAACACCCCTAGCTATAGTCTGTACCAGTGTGTGGCTGAGGATAGAAGCACAGCAGAGAGAAGGTGATTAAAACACTCGGTCTGGAGCCTGTGCAGAAAGAGGTGAAGTGGAGACAGCTCTGGGAAGTGCCTGGGCCTGTGCCTGCCTGGGGCTCTGTGTGCCCACCACTGGTCATCAGAGACTCAGGGACACCCTTGAAGCAGGTCCACTGCAAGTTCAAGGAACCACCACATGCCACATGACAGACAGGAGTTCTTGACTGGCCAGCCAAGCGCTGTAGCAGGGACCAGAACCTCTGCTTGCTTGCTCCCTTCCTTTAGAGCAGGATCTTGTTGTGGAGCCTGGTCTGACCTGGTCTCAGGCACTCCTTACTCTATTGCCTGGCACTGTGCTGCACAACAGAATCCCACCCTTGGGCACCAGCAAAAGCAGTGAGAACATGGGAGCCACTTACTCCTTAGTCTTGGCAGCAATTCTGCAGAATGGATCAATTAACTTGAGGTTCTGATCCGCCAAGAGCTGTAATTTAGACATAAAATTGAGGAAAAATGAGGGAAAGATAGCCTTTTCTCTTTTTGGCCATGTTCTAGAAGAGCAAGTACCTGCCTCTCACAAGTCAGATAAGCTGCATGCATGCCTGTCACAGGCAGTCCCAGACATGCTGCAGGGACTGCCTAGCACCCACGCCAGCCCCTCTCTGGTCTTATGGGTGTCTCAGTGCAGTGACCCAAAGAATCACCAACTGGTCAGGGCTACACTGCAGCACTCACGTCCCCTAAGACAGCTGTGTGTGGCATCTGCCCAGCAGTAGGCCCTGGCTATCTCCAGAACTGCAAGGAAAATATGAATTCTATGTGGATGTCATCTCAGAGCATGAGACAAAGGCATTCTTTAGTTTTAAATTTCATTCATCAATTCAGTGTGTGTGTACATGTGTTGCCCCTCTCCTAAAAATGCATCATTTATAGATAGGCGGTGGTGGCACATGCCTTTAATCCCAGCACTCCGGAGGCGGAGGCAGGTAGATCTCTCTGTGAGTTTGATTCCAGCCTGGTTTACAGAGCAAGTTCTAGAACAGGTTCCAAAGCTACACAGAAAAACCCTGTCTCAAAAAACAAACAACCCCCCCAATATATATTTTCTTTTACTTAATATACATATAAAAGGTTCACTCACTATGGAACATCAAAGAGGATAGCAGAAATTGTTTATATTCCCAAACCATCTTTATTTAAAAGTATACCTTTTCTTTCCAGCTTTTTGTGTATTTACACTGGGTATAATCTGTGTAGTGTTGTCTATTGCCTTTCCCTCACAGCTTCTGAAATACACAATATACCCTGATTTTTTCATACTGGCTCCTATAACGTTTCCGATTCTTTCTGCAGGGGGAGGAGGCAGGGTCTCGCTATGTGGCACAGGTTGCTCTGGAACACGAGATGGACCTGCTTGAATGCTGAAATTACAGATGTACACCACCGTGCCTGAACATGGGGCCTCGTACTCCTGGCTCAAATATTTCTCTTCCTCCAGCTTCTCCAGCAGCCATGTATGGCTCAATCCTACTTTGTAGGTTAAGACTGCCATACATGTACAGCATGCAATTCTGTCTCCAAGTCAACTTTTAGGTGTCTGGGCCAGTCAATGCCAGGAGGGGAGAAGTTACAGAGAGGTTACTCCTTCTGACCGTACCCACGTCAACCCCAGCATGGTGGACCCATCACACTGCTGGCTGGGCAGTGCGGCTTCTCACCTCCCTGCCTCCCACAGCGGAAAGCTCATCCAAATAAATATCTATCAAGTGGGACTTCACTCCATCGGGAGACTGGCTCTCGGGACTCAGGATCTCCTTCATCAGGATGTCCAGAAAAAGCTTGACTTGGCTAAAGAACAACAAAAAACAAACCAACCATACAGTTGCTTTTCTAAGACATTATCACCAATACCCCCCTCTTCTCAAAGAGCAGACAAAAATAATTAATTTTCTGCTCACACTGCATAACAGTCAGTATGAAGCCTAAAGGGAAGACAGGTTACTCTGGTCATATTAACTGATTCTACAGCTCTACTGGGCTTTAAGCTACCTTGGCTCAGGACCTATTTTGCCTCTCATAGCACTACATAGCGGTAGACATAGATCAGCCAATTCATGTTTTTATTACCTGAAATCTTAGAGGACCCTATTACTCTATAAGGACTTTTTGGGGTTGCTAAGGATCAAAACTAGGGCCTCATACCCACTAAGCAAGCGCTCTACCATTGAGTCACCTAGCAACTTTGACATGCTTTTAATGTCACCATGTTAATGTAAACAGTTTACCAACCTGTCTTCCCAGGCATTCCGCTTGAGAACTTCAAAGGACTGCCTCAGGACCAGGCGGATCAGCTAAAGGTTGACATTTTTATAATAAAAGCAAAAAATAGTCATCATCTTGGCAGAATAAGGGGGTCAATGCTGGATCCCCAAAATGAGACAATATCCTTAAGTCTATTTAACCCCTGGATCAAAATCATGAAGTCAGACAGAGGTATGTGCCTATACCCAAGAGCCAGAAACCAGCCCATACAGCATACAGAGGCTCCGCCACACAACCCCCAGAAAACAATAATCAAGGTGCGACCACAGCATCCTGCCACATAGGGCCTGGCTTTCTACTGTTTTCTTGCTGAGGATGGAAGCTAGGTTTCAAGAATGCTGGCAAAGCAGCTCTTGCCTGAGAACCCTACACCCATGTCCTGGGGTGCCTTTTACTTTCTTCCCAACTACCTCTTTCTCTTAACTCTAACACTTATAAGCTATATTAAAATCATTAGTGGGCCAGGCGGTGAAATGGCGCACGTCATTAATTCCAGAATTCAGGAGGCAGAGGCAGGCGGATCTCTGAGTTCAAGGCCGGCTTGGTCTATATACAGTGAATTCACGACAGCCAGGGTTACACAAATTCTTTGAAGAACAAAAACTGACTAACCAACCCAAAACTACCCCCCAAGCACAAATGCTGCTGAGCTGCACAACCCCCAACCCCAGCTCCCTGCTGGTCTTCCGACAGAACCGTCTGTGTATAGAGGGAGGCACCCCTTACCATGTAGTACTTGTCCAGCCGTAACTTGTCTATCCCTTGCCACTCTCGATTCATGGTTTGCCAGAAGGTCTGAATGAATAGGTGTTCTGCAGCAAAAAGAGGTTCTCAGTGCTCAGCTGCCACATGAACACACAGCAAGAAGGAAGTGACTGAAAACACATTCAGTTCTCTTTAGGTATCTATCTCAAGAATCCTTGGACAGGTAGGGTTTGGCCAATAACTAAATATGCTCCATAATTTCCTTTGTGGCTATACAAAGACATTCTAACATGATACCATCAGCATCTGTTAATCAGAGTGTTCCCGGAAGCACTGTTCTTTATCTGCCTCAAATCAAATCCACCTTTCTATCAGGGACCCCTGAAGGCACCCGCTGGCCTGCTCTACCAATCCATTTGTCTCGATGAGCATTCTTAAAATTCATGGACAGTTTTTTCTTCTTCTGATGTTAGGTGTTGTCTGGGTGAGATACAGCACAAGATACTAGAGCCACAGAACCACCACCTTTACAATCGGAAATTTTTCTTATTTACTGACTTTTGAACATCTCTACTCCCTTCTACATAGGATTTGGCTGTTACCCAGGCTGGCCTGGAGCTTGAAAACCTCCTGGCTCAGCCTTCTGAACGTGCCACCATGCCCAGCACAATTTATTAGGAGATGAAATCTTTACTATACAACAGATGTAGAGTTTACATGTTGCAAGCCAGCTAAAACTGAGAAAAGCAGCCATGGTCATTCAGTGGGGAATGCCAAACACAATGAACTGCTGTCCAACTTCAGAACGCTCATCTTTTCCTTTAGGTAGAGAAGGGTCACTCTATACTTTATTACAGTGATTTATCACCGCGACGGCGCTAAACTTGGTCAGGATGCACCTGCCAGGTTACTGTATGTACTGGCATACGCGTCACAGCTTCTAAGAGTGACAGTAAGTTGAATTTGGAGGCTTTGGAGGAGTGTTGCTCAGTCCTAAGTGATCTCTGTTCACTTAGCAGCTAACATTAAGCGCAGCAGCCTTTAAAACAATAACAGCTTGTGACATCCCTGCAATGGTGTCAGGAAGCTCCCATGTCACCAACACCCAGAAAACTGGAACATCACAGGAGGGAAGCACTGTCTAGGTTCCCCAGGCAAGCTACCAAATGTGCTAATGAGGAAGTCTGAAAGCCAGGAAAAAGGCAGGACTTACGAGCCTCTGAGCTGTTAACAACATGGATGAGTTGGGAAATGATGTTCGCTAGTTCTTCCTGCAAAGGCGGGTCGGGGAGAAACATCAGTTATTAGGTGGTCACGCTGTGATGGCAGTGCTGTGAGCAGTACCCTCCTCCCTCTGTGGCGGGAAAACTGATGCCTCTTGTCCTGGGTCTGTAGCTGACACCCTGGGTTCTAATGTGGAACTCCAAACTTTAGTGAACTATTGAGCTAATGTGATGTTTCTGGAAAAAAAATGCTAAAACTCTGTGTTTAAGAAAGCATCTCTGGTTAAGAGGTTGGATGATTCCAGAAGAAGTAATCTCACTGCCAATTCCTGCCTCCCACCCTCCCCCCTCTTTTGGAGACAGGCTCTCTACATAGCTCTGGCTGGCCGTGAACTCACAGATCTGTTGGTCTCTGCCTGAGTACTGGGATAAAAGGTGTGCAATACCACACCCATCCCTGGCTTTAATATATAAGCTAAACAGAATCTATCATGAATACCAAATGTTGCAAAGCCAGAGGTATAGCAAGTATAGCGCCTTGCTAATGCTTGGAATCCACTCCAGTCTTCTCTAGACCTGGTCAGAGAAGGCCGGAATGTCAACAGGCTCCTCTAGGTTGTGCTCTGGGCAAAGCTGAAGAGCATATGGAGGCAGAGTAGATTCCATTTGGTAGAAGTAAGGGGCTAGGTGTAGGAAGAAGCCTTCCATCTTCCAGAAGATAAGTGTCTTTAATGGCCCTGCTCATATATCCTGTGCCCAGAGTTCCTTACTTGCCTTGAATGAACTCCAAGACTTGAAAGCGATGTTCCTTTTGGTTGGTTCCCTTCCTCCACTAAAGCTGCTTGTTGCTACTTCTGAATATAATCTTACAATATTTTGCTCTGCTATCCCACTCAAAATATGTTCAGTAGAATCAACACAGTGAATCGAGACAAGTCACTGTATGTCCTGAGAAAAGTAGCAAGGCTTCATAAACAAGGTAAGTTTATGGGTAGAGGACTCTACACTGGGGCTTGTGTGTCGTGACCCGTACTCTCCTGCTATTGAGGTGGGTGTAGTTTCAGACATCAGAACAAAACTCTTCTATGTTGTACTGGTGGCAGGCTCAGTGGGCAGGGATAAAAGCTTGACCGTGTATTCTGGTCACCAGCGCAGCCAATGGCACTTTAGCCACGGGGCCTGGCTGATTGCAACTTCACCAGGCCCCTGCTGTGCTTCTGACCCCGCATCAATAGAAGAGAAAGTGGAAACATTAAAAACATTATGTAAAACCTACCACGGAAGCTATGAAATGATGAGAGCAAAAGGGAATCTATGACTTAGTGTGTCCGATATGTCTGAAAGCACAGCCTAAGTGCCTGCTGCCCCCTCCTGAGGGGACAAGCGCTGAGACAATGGCTCCTTGAAGCATTTACTTCCATCTGTTTGGGGATGGCAGCAGACTGGCGGAGCGTAAACGGTCAAGTCTCCTATGCACCGTGGCGAAGTCCCAGGAACAGGATGAGGGACCGTGTTACCTGTAGCAGGGGCTCGTCCTGTACCCACATGCAGTAGAAGAGTCCTTTCCATATTTTTAGGAGTTCTTCCTGACTGAAACCTCCTGCGGAAGAAAATGGCACAACCACCTTAGAGTCTATATCCTTTCCTTAATGTTTACCAATGTTACACCAGCGGCAATACCACATACACCCCCGTCTTCTGCACACCCTTCCCTAAACCTGCAGCACGCCTCATGCTAATGGCTAATAGTATGACAATAAACTAACCCCTATGCCTGGTAGACCAGTTGCCAAGCACATACCAGGCCTTGAACTCACCCCTTCCTAACAAGGAAGAAAGGAAGTTTCCCTGATCTTAATGACGGAAATTACAAGTCCCATAAAAGATGCAAGTCGCTAAATGCCCCTATCAAATGGCAGACCCACTCCCGATCCGCTCCCAAGAACAGAAGAGGCCAGTGAGGATGGTTCTGCCAAGCGAGGGGTACTTTTAAAAGGGTCCACAAAAGGCAAAAGTCAGCCATGTTCCATCTTCTCACTGTGCCAGCCATCATTTCTCGCAGTTCTTAAAACAGCACCGGTCTGTTTTAAGTGGCATGCCCTGGAGCCTACCACTTGTTGCCCTGCTGCCAGGCTCATGGCCAGCAGCTCTTGGGCCTATTCCAGGTGTCAGGAAGCAAAGGTGGCCGTGAATGCTGAGGCAGAGAAGCAGCAGCATTCTGTATTTTTGTGATCGGGAAGCAACATGAAGTCTTTTCAGCAGCACACCGAGATAAACAAGTTCTCTTTCCAGACAGGGTTTCTCTGTGTAACACCTCTGGCTGTCCTGGAACTCACTGTTAGGCCAGGCTGGTCTTGAGCTCACAGTATTCTGCTTGCCTCTGCCTCCCAAGTGCTGGCTGTAAAGGTGTGCGCCACCAGCTGTTTGCTTAGCTTTTTGAGGTCTTGTTACTTAGCTCAGACTGGCCTTGACACCTCTGATCTTCTTGCCTCTGTGTTCCACCTTACACATGTTGTGGAATATCAGTTTAAGATATGTTACATTTGTTTATACTGTGTAATATTTGTTTAATGATGCAAAGACGTGCTGCATTCTCTTACTTTGTACTTGTTTAACTCTGTAAAGCTGTGTTAGTGTGCCTGCCTGAAACACTTGATTGGTCTAATAAGGAGCTCAACAGGCAATAGCTAGGCAGGAGAGAGAAACAGGCAGGGCTGCCAGGCAGAAAGAATAAACAGGAGCAGAAATCTAGGCTGGAGAGAAGAGGATGAAGGAAAAAAGGAGAAGGAAAAGAGGATGCCAGGGGCTAGCCAACCAGCCATCCACAGAATAAGAAGGGAAGAAAGACTATATATAAAGAAAAGTAAAAAGCTCAGAGGCAAAACGTAGAGAAATGGGTCAACTTAAGTTAATTTAGAAAAGCTGGCTAGAAACAAGACAAGCTAAGTAAGGCCAGTCATTCTCATAAGTAAGAATGTTCAAGTCTCCATGCATTTATTTGGAAGCTGGGTGGCAGGCTCCCAAAGAGTAAGAAAAAAACTAACTACACACACAATTCAAGTACGTATTTGAATCCCGTGTGCTATTAACTTTGAGACATTTTAAAAATGGCAAAGAAGCCTTGTAATGGACTAGTGGTTCTATAGTGTACTCAGTAAGCCAACTTGATTCTATGACTGATTTCCAACTTACTGAAGAGACGTCTCTGGGCTGGGGAGATGGTGCAGCAGGTGAGACCCCAGTAGGTGAGACCCCCTGTGAGGCAGGCATGAGAAGCCCAGCCTTCAGCTCCACATAAAGGCTTTGTGCGCCTGTGACTTCCAATGGTCAACCCAGCCTAGCACCAACACCAAGTTCCGGGTTCAGAGAGACCCTGCCTTAAGGGAATTGGGCAGATAGACGGTGGCAGCCAACCAACACCCTCCAACGGCCTTCACAAATGCATGCACGTATGTACACATCCCCAAACTTTTTTTTTTAAAGGCCTGCCTCCTTTCAGTGCCTTTATAATGTTGCATTTTGACTCTTTTGTGATAGTTTTCCACTTAAAACCAAGATGGCAAGTGCGGTAGCACATGCTTTTAGTCCCCGTACAGATGCAGGCAGAGTTGCAGCCAAGGCTATGTAGATAGACTGTCTCACACAAATCAACAATACACAAATTCCAAACACCAGGCTAACAGAAACCATAGTAAAGTTAGCTAATCAAAGCACATTTCCTTAAGGAGCCACACAGGTGATATGCCAGCCAACCTCTCTCTGCTAATGTAAACATGGCACACACCCCCAGCACCTGCCCAACTGCAGTTACAATGGCCAGCTTTTCTTGTTGTGGTAGCCTGCACCTTTGTTTGATCATGCTCTAAGACTGCACATGTTCCTGGAGAACTGGTGGATCTGGGTAAGGACTGATGACTGCAGAAACCACTTTAGACCATTTGGGTCAGATCACACCCAAACCATCAGTTGGAACTTATCACAGGAAAATCACAAACACAGATTTGTCTAAGTAGACTTATAAAATCTGACTTGTACCTCTGATCATTAGTTTATAAAAACCTAGGGGCAGAGATACATGAGACAAAGGTATGGTATTCTAGAAGACAAACGACCCACATTCCATAACAAATAAACAGTTTTGGGGGGAGAGAAGAACTGCTGTTAATTAAGTCTGCAGATAGACCAGTCTTGTTTGAATTGACATAAAAGATGGTGAGAAAAATTCAGCAGAATGAATATTTCATGACATCAAGAGTGTGTGTGTGTGTGTGTGTGTGTGTGTGTGTGTGTGTGTGTTGAAGAGTCTTGCTATGTAGCCCAGGCTGGCCTCAAATGATGACAGGAGCATGGCACTTAGTCTGGCTGAGGCCTTTGTTATGGTGTAAAGGTGATGCTGTGGTTGTCAGAGGGACTGCATGCTGGGTGAAAGGAAGTGGGTTGGAGGCCTAAGATCCCGATGGGGCACATCAAATGAGCAGGTCAAGTGCTGGGAACTACCACAGCAGTGAAACAAGGATACTTTTCAGATATTTGAAATGATCCTCAA